GAAATGTTTTTAACATAAAGTCAGGTCCATGTGATCACGTAATCCAATGCCACAATTTGCACTAAGACGCATCAGATGACGACCAAACGTGCATACTCATGTCACATTTTATTTTTTTAACGTTTCCAAATATTAATTAATTATTATTAAAATGAAGTTTACTTTTTTTTTTTTTTAAATGAAGTTTACTTAATTAAGCTATTTTTCATTATTTGCAGTTTTGCACACTCGAGATCGTGGACTTTCAAGTCCAACAAGAGCATTTTAGGGCGTGTTTGTTTATGAAATATTTCATTCAAAATGAGTTATTTTAGTTAATTAGAGTTAATTTTGAAAAAGATAGTATAGTTAATTATTAATGGGATTTTAAGAATGTATTAAAATAATATTTAAAATAAAATAATTAATATTGATTTGATATAAAGTAAGAGATAAATTATTGGAAATTATTAGAAATGATAGGTAGTTAAAATTATGTGAGTGGATGAATAGTGAATTAAAGTTGATGTGATGTGTAAGAATGATTGGTCTGTATTATTTAATTGTATGAATAATGTTAAAGATAATGGAATTGAATTAAAGTTGAGTTAGATTTTTATATAAATTGAATTGAGAATGAAATAATTTGTAAAAATAAGCATGCCCTTAATGATTTTATGGAAGTCCTATCACATATATAGAATTCTAAATAATATTTAAAACTGTAAGTACAACATACTGGATTCATCTGATATGACATCTGAAAATGGATTAAACATTCATCTGAACTATTTTGAGGTATTTTTATTGAAAAATATGTAATTATTATAATTATTTTAGCTTAAATAATGTAAGTGGATTTTGTATAGATTATGTGAGATGAAATAAATACTTAAATTTCGTGATTTCATTATTTCGTTTTCGCTTTGAAATGTTCTAAGAGCACATCGTGATTGAGTCAATTTGGCAAAAAATAAAATAAAATAAAAATTATATTGCCGTATTAAACTACAGATATTTTGTTTAAAAATAACATTTTAACATTAGAAATGCTTAATTAAATCAGTAGTTTAATTAGCATTACTGCATTAGGTTATTACTTATTACAACGTTTTTATTTATTTTTGTGGCACACTGCCCTAGATTATGCTCTCTGACTGTCAGTGTAATCCACTAATTTGACATTAAATTATATCCATAAAAGCTTAATAATTCTTCTAAATTAGGCTCAATGCCCTAAGTATAATGAATGGGCACCAACTCTCCCATTATCGACCCCTTTTAATTTAACGCACAATACCACTGGCAATGGTTCATTAGATGCTAATCTATGAATTAAAATAAACGAGTTCTAGACTTTAAGGAACACAGTTAGTTTAAATGGGACAAAATGATAGTTCAAAATTAAAAAATTAATTGATTTTTAGGGATCAAATCAGATGAAAATGAATTAACATAAGTTACTTCTTAATTGCACAACTAAGATGTAAGGGTCGATATAGGTCAATTCGGTTCGAAAATTAGAAATCGTTAAAATCAAATCGAAAGTCAAGGAAAATCAAAATTCAATATTTAGAATTTTATAAAAATTTGACACGGTTTGATTCAACAGTCTTTAATTTTTTATTCGATTCAGTTGGAATCAAATAAAATGGGTCTATATCTATGGCTTGGATCGGTATGGTTCGAATTAAGTATACATATATTTTAAGTTATTAAATTAGAATAGAAATGTAAGAATATAACTAACTAAACTAGAATAATAATGTAAGAATATAACTAACAGTGATTCATTATTTTTTTAAAATTAATATTTAATTATAACAAAATATCGATATTTTTATATTTAAACTTTTATATATATATAATTTTATAAAATATTTTTTTTGAAACCAGCCTCTAAATTTGCGGAAAAATAAAGATGAATCACAATCTTTACCGAGGATATTTTTATGACATTCAGTGGTAAAAATTTGAAGTCACATAAAATATTTATGATTCTAAAGGTGAAAATTTGAACTCTAAGAAAATATGTATGATTTTAATTTTTTCTTTTGTTTTTTCATTTCATGTTAATTACAGTATAGAACAAAACTAAGAAAAAAAAAAAGAACAAAAAAGTGATATAATTTAGTACTTGAATATTATATTCTTGTTTTATAAAGTTCCCTATGTTTAATTTTCTCTCTTCCACGTTTTATAAGCACGAATTGGCTTAGAAGTCGTGAAGGTCAACTTAAAATCCATATACGGTACTTCTCTTAGCCCCTCTAATAAAGTATGCCCACGGCCACGTGTGCTAAAAAACTGCATACTATTCATATCTATTTTTAACAAAAGAAAACATGTAACACTTATCCAATTTATTATTAAAAATAGAACATTTCATAATATAAAAAATATTCAAAAAATGAAACTATGATGATGTGATATTTATAACCAATTTTCATGACATATTATTTGAAATAGAAATGCGCAATATTTTGCTCAATTTTAAGATTTTTGACCATGTAATAGATGCAAAAGTGTACACTAAATACGAATAATGAGTCCAAAACATTCTTTCCAATGGTGGGCCATTTTATATCATTTGGGGTATTTTTTTTGGACTTTGGGTTTTGGAACTACGTTCACATGGAGTGTTCTCTTAATTCAAATTGGGCCCCGTATAGTATACGTTCTCACAATTTGGCCCCAAATGTGTGGCTTCACATTTGGTCAATGTTTGACCACATATCATTTTAACTACTGCTAAATTATGATGACGACATCTTTGACCATATGTCACCCACCCACACATTTTTTTATGCTAATTTTTTTTTTTATATATTGTTTACTTATTTTAATTTTTGGTTGATACATGAACATGAACATGAACATGAACATGATGTATTAGGTAGTTGGCCAAATTTATAAATTATAGTAATGTTGTTGTGTCAGGGAAATTAAATAGTTATATGATTATATTTTTTCAATAAATATTTATATATTTATAAATTATAGGAACACTACTGTTAGATGCTAGTTGTTAGACAAATACAATATTAGAAAGTCATATTTTTTTTCCAAAAGATATATCAAGTTTCAAACTTAAATAGCATACTCTATAAATAACATAAATAAAAGTATGATGTTTTATAACATAAGTATAAAATTTAATTTGTTAATAAGATATCACAAGTCGACTCGTCCTCTAACAATCAGATTGTCTCGTACAGAAATTTTTGTACAAATTATTATGTGTTGGTAAAAAAGGGAAGAGGAAGAATAATTTGAACTTTCCATTAATAGTAGTTTAGAATAAAGAATATGTTTCGATGATATTTTTCCTTAAATAAAGACAATTAAATAAGACAACAGTAAAGAAAAAGAAAAAAAAAACAAAAAATGTATATATAAAAAGAAAGGGTAAAAGTGGTAAACTTGAAGTGCTTGGGGGATCCAGTTTTAATTTCACGACACAAGTGATTACAGTAAAGTACAGAGCTTGCAGCATGGGAGTTTTAACAGTACTTTTCTATTCATTTAGATGTGGACTGCAAAAATCAATGCTACCCTGCCATACATAAACAATCCTTCAACAATAAAAAAATAAAAGAAAAAAGAAAAAAAAAAATGAAAATAATAAGACAAACATTTATTATCATTATTATTTTTCTCCTTTAAAATAACTCCAAATGTGTGGATAGCTCAATTGCAATGCCATGACCATGAGGGCAGAAAACAGTGATGTGAACATTTATTATCATTATTATTTTTATCCTTTAAAAAAAAAATGTAATTGACTAATAATTAAACAGATTTACACAATAAGTTTTATATATTTATGTAATTTGGTACGACAGATCACATGTTTTGACCGGTATGGCTCCAATCTGCTTTCGTTAAGGGGTCCTTCAAATTTGACACTTTTCTCACCAAACCTTTTTGATTTTTGTTGGCAAAAAGCAAAAAGTTTCTTTCCACCATTCTCATTATTTATTTATTGCACACGAGAGACAAAACAATACAATACATACATGCTAAAATAGATTTGCTAGGTGTGGTTTTCTTATTCTTTAATTCAAAAAATATGTGACATGTATGTAAATATTTCCAAAAGATGTAACATAGACATAGTACTTGTTGGCCCAGCCCATGAAGAACAAATAATAAGCAGATAATGGGCCAGCCCACAAGATGTTTATGCTGGGGGCATAATTGTCACTTCATCCGAAAAGAAGAAGAATATCTGAGGACGCCGGAACATATGAACATCACGTTCAATCCTTACAAGATTATATTGAGCCTCATCTTCTCTGGACTGATCTGTCTCATAATCTGTTTAGAGATTGAGGCACTCTGTTCGATAAGACAACTTGCTCGACTTTGATGAGCACAAATCAAACCAAGGAGCTCAAAATTAAATCCCTTATCTTCACAAGCATATTATTAAATTAAATGAGTCTGACTCGGCTCGTTAGTTGGAGCTCATTTAAAGCTCGTTTTGCTCGGCTTGATAAGACTCGTCAAGGCTCGAAAAGAAATTTTTTATAGTATAATTTTTTATAGTTGGATTTGTTAAAGCTCGAGATCTGCTTGTTAAAGCTCGAACTCGCTTCGTTATTAATGATAGAAGGCGTAAAAGACTTGGGCCGCCATTTGGGCTCGATCATGTCCCAAAGAAGGGTCCTCTCCTACTTGGTGCAAGTATTGTGCATATTTTCTCCACCGATCACTCGACATTTGGGAGCAAGAACAAGAAGGAACCCTGCAGCCGGAATTGAAATTGGGTTTTGAGGGTCAAAATTGGGTTTGACGGTAAAAAAAATTTAAGTTTTCAAGAAAATTTTAAATTACAGTATTTATTCAGCCCTAGTTTCATGAAATAGGACAAAAAGTGTAATTAAGCCAAAATAAATTCATGAAAAAAAAAGTTTCATATTCAGCCCTAATTTCATCCCCAACTCCAATTTCATCGATCGCAATCGAAGTAAAATAAAACAGGTTCTTTTAAATGTAAAACCTTATTTCATTCCAAAATGCCAGTAAACTCCAATGCCCTCAGAAAATTATGTGAACTCGAGGCCAAAATTACGGCTTCACAATCATGTTCTCGTCCCAGCCAGCTATTTTCGCCAATCGGAGCAAGTCCGTACTCATTGCCGGAGAACCATACTTCCGCACCCCATTCGGCTCCGGAAGTGCGCCGGCGGTTGGTGCCCAGAGACGATTTTGGCAGCTCTAGAGGAAATGGATCAGAACATTATCGAGTATTTGCTTCAAAAAGTGACAGTCTTTACAGACGGAGAGGAGGAGGTTACAGAGGGGAAGAGGATTCTGGAAAGAGCGAGGACGACGACGAGGACGATGACTTTAGGGTTTTGAGTTCATTCGTCAGGAACAGAGTGAAAACCGAAGTTCGCGACAAAATCGAGGTGGAAACCGAAGACGATGAATCAGAACACCCATTAGTCAGAGAAACCTGCAGGTTGATTTCTCTCAGGGCCGCGTGGTCTCCGGATCAAGAATCCGAGCTGAAGCGTCTTTTGCGCCACCTCAAGCCGGGCCAAGTCTGTGCTGTGCTCCGGGCCCAGCCAGACGAGAGGGTTGCACTGGAATTCTTCCTCTGGGCCCACCGGCAGTGGAGATACAGACACGACCCTCTCGTTTATCACGTGATGCTAAAGGTTCTTAGCAGGACCAAGCTTTGCCAGGGGGCCAAACGAGTCCTTTGCCTTATGATCCGAAGGAGAATTGAGCTCCGGCCCGAAGATTTCGGTTGCGTGATGGTGTCTTTTAGTAGGGCCGGGCATTTGAGGAAATCCATGCAGGTTTTGACTCTTATGCAGAAAGCAGGGGTTGGGCTCGATATATCGGTTTGCAACACGGCAGTTAATGTTTTGGTGGAAGGAGATAAATTGCACAAGGCTTTGAGGTTTATGGAGAGGATGAAGGCGGTGGGAATCGAGCCTAATGTCGTCACGTATAATTGTTTGATTAAAGGATATTGTGAAAGGAGCCAGCTTGATTGTGCAGTGAAGTTGCTCGATGAAATGCCAATGACGGGTTGTTGTTCTCCGGATAAAGTGAGTTACGTTACTATCATGGGTTTTTTGTGCAAGCACAAAAAAATCGATGAATTGAGAGGGATTCTTCAGAAAATGCAGCAGGGAGTGAGTAAATTGCCTCCCGATCAAGACACGTACAATACTCTCGTCCACATGCTCTGCAAAAACGGCCATGCAGAGGAGGCTTTAGGGTTTTTACGTGAAGCCGAGAGAAAAGGTTTTCACATTGACAAGTCGGGCCACACTGCAATAGTGAACTGCTTTTGTCATGAGGGTAAAATGGATAAGGCTAAGGTTATTGTAGACGAGATGCTGTTAAAAGGATGCAACCCTGATGTTGTGACTTATACTGCCGTTCTTGATGGATTTTGTCGTTTGGGGGAGATCGAACGAGCTAAAAATCTGCTAAAACAGATGAACAAGCACAACTGCAGGCCCAACTGCGTATCTTACACAGCCTTGTTAAACGGGCTCTGTCGAAAAGGAAATTCTTCGGAGGCTAGAGAGATGATGGACATGAGTGTGGGCTGCGGGTGGAGACCCAATGCCGTGACTTATAGCGTAATCATGCATGGATTTCGTCGTGAACGGAAATATTCCGAGGCCTGCGACACTGTAAATGAAATGATCGGGAAAGGGTTTTACCCATCTCCCGTCGAGATTAACCTCTTGATCAAGTCACTTTGCCAGGCTGGCCAAACGGAGCAAGCGAAAAAATTCATGGAGGGGTGTCTGAAAAAGGGTTGTGCCGTTAATGTCGTGAATTTCACGACTGTAATTCACGGGCTCTGTAAAAGAGGCGACTTGGACTCGGCCCTTTCGGTTTTCGACGATTTGTATTTGAATAACAAACACCCGGATGAGGTGGCGTACAATGTAGTTATAGATGCACTGGGAAAGGAAGGTAGAATAGACGAGGCTGTTCAGATGACTCAGAAGATGCTTCATTGTGGTCTTTTGCCTACTCAGTTCACTTATAAGTCGATTATCCATAATTTCTGCAAGCATAAGAAAGTAGATGATTTGTCGAGCCTGATCAAGAAGATGCTCAGGAGGGAAAAATGCGAGACGGCGTATAATCAGGTTATTGAGAAGCTTTGTAGTTTGGGTTATGGGGACGAGGCTTATAGGCTTTTGGGGAGAGTTTTGAGGACAGACTGTAGAACAAATGTTGATACGTGTCACGTTCTTATGAGAAGTTTGTTGAAAAATGGGGATTCGATTGGGTCATATCGAGTGGCTTGTAGAATGTTTAAGCAGAATTTGGTGCCCAACTTGAAGCTCTGTGAAGAAGTGAGTAAAAAACTGATTTCGGTGAAGAAATTTGTCGAGTCGGATAAGCTCATGCTTCTGTTTGTGGAAAACGGGCATGTCTCGCCTAAGGTTAAAGAGGCCGCAGTTTGAGTCGGATAAAAAGATACTTTCAAGAATCGCTTATTGGTAATTACTTCACCTCAAAGGCAATCTCTATCAGCTGAGTTTGATTGTCTTGTTTTTTTTTTNCAAAATTTCTAAACTTGAGCTATTACTTTTTAGTCTTACTTGTTGCCCTACTAGTAAACTTTTCAGATTTTTGTTTGCAGAATGCAACCAACAGAGAGGGAAAGAAAGAAGGAAAGAACTGAGAAAGAGATAACGGAAAATGAAAGAACAGATGCTGAGTATGGAGTTCTAGTCGAGCTATAATTTAATTTTTGACATGTTTTATGCTTACCTACAATCACAAGCAACTCTTTTTAACATAATTATTCTATTCCACGCAGATCGTTTATTGCTGTCATTGAATAACGACGAGTACGTAAATGCTGAACCAACCACCTGGAAACAAATGCTGGAGGCCATTTCAAATATGACTCTAGTTGAGTGCACTTGACATGGTCTTCTATATTTCCTATTCTCAGTTTTAAAATTCAATATTTTTCGACTAATTGTGGTTTTGATGCATGATGTTACCCTGTGAACACATGGCTAGATGGATATTCACAGACATAAGTGGGCAATGGCCTATAATATGAGGTTTTTTGTTCATTAGGGAACATTATATAGCTCTAGTCTACCTATAGTGTCCCTTCTTGATCAAATATGTTGGAAAAATCGTCTTTTTACCGTTAGATCACACACACACAAACACACACACCCACATGGATGTGTGTTGATCCAACATTAAAATACTCGGTGAGATCACTGCTCTTCACCTGTAGGATCGATTTTGCCGAGTATTTTCTTGGCCTTCAGCCTTCTACTACATTTACACGAAATCAAGTTTCGATTTTTTTTTTAGCTCCTTTCTTTCTTTCTTTCTTTCTTTCTTAATTTTTTATATCTTTCCCCACATTCTTGAATGCAAATAAAGTGATGAATGCTTGTAACTGATTTGATCAAATTGCACATGATAATCCATAAAATCCTTTGGGGTACCAATAGTGTAAGAACTTGAGACCACCTATAGTTTAAAGGCACTAAGCTTAACAACCAATCTTACATAAACTAGGGTTACATGAGAGGGCAAAAGCAAGTGATTTTTGGTAGAATCACGTGGTGCTTGCAACACAAAACCCTACAGCTTTGGGACACATGTCAGTCACCCAACCAATATTTTATTTATTTTTAAATAATTTAATGAAAATAATAGTATATGAATATCAAAGAATTCTTTTTGCATAGATACAAGCACTATGCTGTTCTCATTAAAAAACCAA